GGGGAAGGGGAGGCGGGGGGGGGGAAGGGGAGGCGGGGGGGGGGGGAAGGGGAGGCGGGGGGGGGGAAAGGGGAGGCGGGGGGGGGAGGGGAGGCGGGGGGGAGTGAAGGGGGGGGGGCGGGGGGACGTATGTTGGGGCGCCAAAATGGTTTGGAAAAATAAATTGAAAGGTTGAGGGGGGTTCAAATCGAAAGTTTGAGTGGGGGGGGGGGGGAGGGGGTGCACATCAAAAGTTTGAGGGGGGGGGGGTTGAAAATCGAAATCTTGGGGGGGGGGGGGGGGGGGTTAAAATCGAAAAGTTTGTCCCCGGGCGCCGGGAAGGCTCGCTATGCCTCTGAGTGACAGACGTGATGTTTTTTGATGGATGACCCCCGAAACCCACAGTTATCCAAGGGATGACGGGTATTCTAGTTTTAATATATAAATTAAAAAAAAAACATTTTGTGAAAGCGAAGAGAGTATTTTGGTGAAACTTAATATAAATTTATCTACTGTTTAATTCATTGAGTTTTACAATACATATCGTTATCATTATCTCGTTTCCTTAAACTTTTGGGGCAGATGGGGCAGAGTTAATCTGTTTCAATTACCTCATCGTACAAGGGGATAATGTGGCCAGTTCTATACCCAGCCGCCTCAGTTTCCCAAACATAAGTCAGAACTGAGTGTATACAGGGACGTCCTACAGACTCAAACCCGGTATCCAAACACGAGAATTTAGGGTTGGCAGTCATTAGCTCTACTATCCGACCACGCCATGCCTCTGTAGGATTGAAGTTAACAACTATGCCGTTTTTAGCATTAAAACTCATACAATCTAGTAAGAAAAATAAGAGAGCAATGACATAATTGTCTAGACGGACGATGGTGCTGAAACAGAACACGTCACCGCCAACACCGACACACGTTCGGAGCTTTCTTTAATCTAGGTGACCAATCTGTTTTCACTCCAACATAATCTAAACGACGAATACCGAAACAGGATTACACAAAAAATAATAATTTAAAAACCGTTTAATAACAAGCTTTTTATTTACAGTTATTATTAAGGTTTTAATTTGTTTTAATTTGTTTTACTATCCACTTTTGAGTCATTTATTCTAAATGAAGTTGACACTACATAGGCTACAACTCATAATATTTGTGTTAAAACCAGCTCAGTAGCTTGTGATCTCTACAAGACAATTATCTGCACCTCAATGGGACATGGCCGACACCCAGACGATCAATCAACTAGCAGTGAGAATTCAACAAAACAGTTCACAGCAAACAGGCTGATAACGTAATCACATGACATTTGTTACTAAATTTAGATATGTTTAAATTAAATGTGAATAGCTATTTATTTTTTAAAAAATTATATTCATGCAACGTCAACAAAAAAAAAGAAGATATCTAAAAGGTTAGAACTAAATCGATGCATTAGATGTAGGTCAAAATTGAGTTCAAGATTCGCCCCAAACCCACAGAAAGCAAACGAACGTTACCAACTAAGTCAAAGCTTGTAAAAATGACGCAACAAAATCAGCAACCGGCCTAAATAGTTCAAAATAATTTTAACATTTTGATGACGAAACAAAGACCAACCAGCCGGATAGATATAGTTTACGGCTGCTTTTCTTTCTTCCTTGTATTACTATGACTATAGGTGGATCAGCAAGTTAGATCCTGCAAGCATATTTAAGTAAAATACTATACTAATGTGAGAAACATGGGACTGACCGTGATGAGAAGACTTAAACATTTCCGTTTAAGACATTCCATTGTGTGTGGTGTGTTAGTCATTCATGATGCACAGATGGGGTTTGTTGATCTAAAATCATGGCCGCCGAACACACCAAAAGCTTACGTGTTAAAAAGTAACAAACATCCTGCTTCATGGCATTCTAGATATTCTATCGAAAGTTAAATACTACCCATTGAAATGGAGGTTCTCCAGTTTATTATAATTTATAAACAGATTAACATAACGGTTAATCACAGGAAAGGTAATTAGCCACGAGTTAAAATCAAATCCTTAACACCTAATGGTTTATCGATCTACTTCCTGTTCAAAGATTAGCAACGGTTATTGATTTTGTAGCCCTGCACCCATTGGGGTGTTGCACATAATGTGTTTAGGAGTGTTAGATTATAACTGCACATATTGTCCCAACATATTAGCTATTTTTAAACCCATATCGCTATAACTGACTTCACTATTTAAGATCGACCACCATTATAAGAACAACACATTTAAATAATTGCTTGTTCGCATTGTAAATATATTTTAAACAGAAACCAACAGCTGCTGCAAATGTTGCAATTAAATGTATAACAAAAAATATTTCTCATTTAATAGTTATAAATAAAACAGCTTTAACAACATGACGTATGTCCGGTTTGTGCTGTGTACAGACATACACAGTTGTGTTTGATTTGTTTCTTTTGCTGATTATCGCTTCCGTAGATGTACTTAATCACCTTATAACATCAAAACAATGACGATCACTGTTGATTAATTAGTTTAATACATAGGAAATTTATTTTATTGAATTTCACCGCATACATAAACAAATGCTATTGCTAAAAGTACACATTTATTTCATTACACTAAACATTTATTTACGTAGATGTAATCACACAGCTTATAGTTATGACTTCATACTTTGTAATTTAATACAAGCATATGAAACAGAACTTTATGTAATTTAATTTATGGTCCCAGTTTAATAAATGTTGTCGACACGAAAACAAAATCCAAACGACAGTAACATCACTAAATCACAAGAGCTGTCTTATTATTTTTTTGGATAATTAAATTTTTTTAATTGATATTATGGTGTAGGATTATTGGCGCACTTAATTGTGGTGATATGGGTTAGGTGTACTGGTGCACTTAATTGTGGTGATATAGTTTAGGTGTATTGGTGCACTTAATTGTGGTGATTTGGTTTAGGTGTATTGGTGCACTTAATTGTGGTGATATGGTTTAGGTGTATTGGTGCACTTAATTGTGGTGATATGGTTTAGGTGTATTGGTGCACTTAATTGTGGTGTTATGGTTTAGGTGTATTGGTGCACTTAATTGTGGTGATATGGTTTAGGTGTATTGGTGCACTTAATTGTGGTGTTATGGTTTCGGTGTATTCGTGCACTTAATTGTGGTGATATGGCTTAGGTGTATTGGTGCACTTAATTGTGGTGATATAGTTTAGGTGTATTGGTGCACTTAATTGTGGTGATATGGTTTAGGTGTATTGGTGCACTTAACTGTGGTGATATGGTTTAGGTGTATTGGTGCACTTAATTGTGGTGTTATGGCTTAGGTGTATTGGTGCACTTAATTGTGGTGATATGGTTTAGGTGTATTGGTGCACTTAATTGTGGTGATATAGTTTAGATGTATTGGTGCACTTAATTGTGGTGATATGGTTTAGGTGTATTGGTGCACTTAATTGTGGTGATATGGTTTAGGTGTATTGGTGCACTTAATTGTGGTGATATGGTTTAGGTGTATTGGTGCACTTAATTGTGGTGATATGGTTTAGGTGTATTGGTGCACTTAATTGTGGTGATATGGTTTAGGTGTATTGGTGCACTTAATTGTGGTGGTATGGCTTAGGTGTATTGGTGCACTTAGTTGTGGTGATATGGTTTAGATGTATTGGTGCACTTAATTGTGGTGATATGGTTTAGGTGTATTGGTGCACTTAATTGTGGTGATATGGTTTAGGTGTATTGGTGCACTTAATTGTGGTGATATGGTTTAGATGTAAACATTCTTCTAACGTTTTCGCTCTTTATCTTCTAAGCTCCCTATGTAGTCTAAGTAAATATTGATTGAGAGATTCAAAATCTTAGGTTTTCTGTCTAAGCACCACCCTACACAAAAAAACGACAACGTTCCCAGGTATGAAACTGACACCTACTTGGCTGTCAATTACTCACAACCCGCTGTAGGGAGCCCGTTATGTAAACAGCACCATAGGTTCCAGGAACCTGCGTTGTCAGACACACTTAACTCTCTATGTTTACTATCTTAAGATTTACTAGATACATGACACTCTTTAGATCTACCTGATACATGATACTCAAACATACGCTATCTAGTCAGGTTTTACAGCAACATAACACCCTAAGTTAAACATGAAGCCTAAAGATATAGAACATGAGTTCTCATGTAATGGCCAATAGCAGAGGCGTATCCAAAACATTAATTTGTCAAATACAGTGTAAAACAGGAACCTATAATACCAGCCGAGCATCATAGCCTATTATTTCTGTAGTAAAACTCATTTTTCTCTTTTTATTCGTGAGCTTTTATTTTGTTAACAACAGCTGTTTACTTTGATCAGTTTTCGTTCAAACTGATACATTTATCTCTGATGGCAATGGACGAATGTTGACTTGTTCCAGAAGAGATGCCTGAAAGAAACACTTTTCGATCATGTGACCTCTTACACATTTTAACAAACGATGCTTCTATTAAAGTTTGCATTACATTCTTATTTTCAGTGTATAGTGTATTTAAAATATTATTGTAACGATTTTTAAAATGTTTGTTTAATATTATGTAGCGTTGAAGTGCTGACTTTTGAGTTCAGTATAAGTTACCTGACGCACAGTTGTTCAGTACTTAACGCAATTTATTTAGCTTGTAATTTCTTAAACGTCAATTCTCGCTTGTTTGAAACAAAGATAGAAAACAACTAATTTCATTTTAACTTGTGTATAGAAGATGTGAACGGAATAGTTAAATGAAAGTAGTGCTAGCTCTGCTTATTTTATAATATCTAGTGTGGATACGCCTCTGAGTTGCCTTCGCGAACCCAATGATTTAATGCTTTGACAAAAGTAAAGATCGTGAACAAATTCTGGCTTACGATTTATGGAGTTGGTACAGGTATTTAGTTAATGTAGGTATAAATGAACCAATCAAAGTTTAGAGTGTAGAGACGTATATTGTACAGACGGCCTTAATGTGGTATCCTGGGTTCTGGTCGTGTTTGATGATTGAAGCTTGGAGAGCGAGACCAATTAATTATGTGTTGTCGTGCAACTGTTGGAGCCAGGCTCGGGCTCATGTTGACCAATCTGCTTTTGATGGTTAGTTTATTTTAGCACCTATGTAGGTGTTCTTGTCATTGTTGTTAAAATAGTTCTTTGTTTAGGATTTTATTTAGGATTTATTTAGGATTTTTTTTAGGAATTTATTTAGGATTTGATTTAGGATATGACTTAGGATTTTATTAAAGATTTTTAATTAGGATTTTTTGTAGGATTTTATTTAGGATTTTATTTAGGATTTTATTTATGATTTTATTTAGGATTTTATTTAGAATTTTATTTAGGATTTTATTTATGATTTTATTTAGGATTTTATTTAGAATTTTATTTAGAATTTTATTTAGGACTTTAGGATTTTATTTAGGATTTTATTTAGAATTTTATTTAGGATTTTATTTAGGAATTTTTGGGTATTTTATTTAGGATTTTATTTAGGATTTTATATTCAGGACTTTATTTAGGATTTTATTTAGGATTTTATTTAAGGTAAATTTGAATTGTTTTCCAGATCAATTGCGATAATTCAATAATGACTTATAAATGACTTTTCGGTGAATCTAAAATAATTCTAAGATGACTAAAACAGACATATTATAAAATGTATAGCACTAACACACAGGTACACCGTATACAGCGTGTAGGTCTACAGATGATACCATTACTGAGGTGTGTACAGTCCTGGAAATCTGACATTGACTTAATGTTGAGATATATTTTTCTTAATTAAGTGCATGTTTAAAGGGACGGAGTGGCCTAGTGGTAGAGCGATATACTGCTAGCCTGAAAGTCTTGAGTTAAAATCATGGTTCGTGTAAGAAGAACGTCACTAAGTCTACCCAACTCTGATGGGTACCTAACTCACTTTAGGGATAACAAAGGCGGCAGGACATAGTGATGATCACACTATCCCTTTATATGCATATGTCACCTAAACAGATAAACTCTACTTCGTCTGCCCCATATGCCTTGGGCGAGAACAGGAAAAGATAATGATGCTGAAGTGGTGTTTTAGTTCAAATCTTAAAGACTGCTTGTTTCCCTTGTTAGTAAAGACTGGGTTACGGTCCTTGCTTTTGTTCTCTGGCATAACTTGACAACCCACAAATGACTTGCAGCACATAAAACACCGCACCTGACTTTAGACAGATATATGTTAAAGTCATGTACATAAATATTGACTTGTCTCCCATTCTCTGCTTCCAGCTGGTGGCGCTGGCGTGTGTAGGGTGTGGGGTGGTTCTCATCCTGGGGCGCGCCCTGTACGGCAGTCAGCTGGGGTGGCTGCAAGACGAGCTGAGGAGTTTCAACACCAAACTGGACGTGAGTCAGCTTGACGTCACCTTCGTCACACTTCCTCTTGGCGCGGCACTCATTACAGTCGGGTTCCTAATCGCTGTCGTCTGCATCTTGGGGATTATCGCAGCTTCCGGTCACTTCTATAAACTGACCTTGGTGTACCTGGTCGTGCTGTCCTGTCTGTTCTTCGCGGAGAGTGTCGTGGTCATCTGCTCCTATATCGACCGGACGCCGTTCGACAGCACGGTCAAGGTCTACATGAAGTCGTCGTTGTCCGGGTACAAAGGTGACTCCGGCGCAGACAGTACCAGCCTGGGGTGGAATGCTGTCATGTTGCACCTCAAGTGCTGCGGGGTGGACAGCTATGCTGACTTTACCAGCTGGAGTAAGACTACAGCTAATCAGGTTATACCAGGTGCATGTTGTGTCAAGCCATTCAAGGGCGACCCCTGCAGCGAGAAATCACAGTATAATCAACCTAACATGACGTATTACGACAGGGGCTGTTACAACCTAGTCTGGGACTACGTCACCTCCAACACAGGGCTCATCATCTTCGACGTCTTCTTCATCGTCGTTCTCCAGTTCCTCAACATCTTCTTCACTGTCTGGATCATCTGCCAGTTCAAGAGCCGGGGTTTTACCAGGGTCGGGGTCTACAGAAACATGTACTAGCTGAAGGTATCAGGATAGGGGTCTACAGGAATATGTACTAGCTGGATACATAGGATAGGGGTCTACAGAAACATGCACTAGCTGGATTTATAAGATAGGGGTAAACAGGAATATGTACTACCTGCATATACCAGATTCTCTATCTTCCCTGTACCTGATTACTTTCTTACTAGTATCTGCAAAGATAAACTCGAAGTTAAAGAACAATGATTGCTATTTAAAGATCACAAAAGAAAATCAACTATTTGCACCGCGTAGGCCTATAACTCAAATATATGACCCTACCCTATTATCGGCTGAAGAAAATCTTTATAATTTTTAAAGATATTCAAGATTTGTTTTGGTAAAAGTAAGCACGTTTAGTTTTTTATAGAATTCAATTTGATGCAGGCTCAGTTATATTGTTAACACGTACTACACTTATTGAGTTTTTATTAGTATTTATGTGTTGCGATTTTTATTCCGAATTGCTAGTCTTCCCACCAAGGTCATCCTATCAATAAAGAAGTGTAGACCTAAATCGGGATGTCTTGATGTGTACCACTTACACTTTGTCTGCTTGCTACACTTATCAAGGCTTAAGAGTAGTCACAAATTTTACGTTTATCCATTGTTTTCCAGTCTTGTCACTAGATCTCCATGTTTTTTAAGTAAAAACAAAACACCAGCCTTAATAAACGACGATCTTCTTGTTGAAAGATATTTTATTTCAAGAGACAATACATTCGGAGCATCAATGAGGTTCTATAGGATATTTTACATTTGTCACTGAATATAAATTATATTAATTAAACACTTACTTAAGTGTTGTATAAACTTAAATTAGAAAGATAAAATAGTGAGGGAGATTACAATAGGATGTTTTGAGTGTTTGAGTATTGTATTTTAAAACAATTAGCTATAACACACGCAACAGAGTAAGTTGCCGATCATTTAAAAATTGATATTTCATTTTTACATTTTAAAAACCTTTTCATAAAGGCTCATTCTATAAATTTGATAGTTCGTATACAATTTTGACAGACTTTTACCAATTAAAAAATTATATATATATATATATATATATATATATATATATATATATATATATATATATATATATATATATATATATATATATATATATATATATATATATATATATATATATATATATCGAATAGTTGTAACAAAAATGATATTTTAAAATGTTCGCGTGTACCAGGAGTTGTAAGCTGTACATTAGTTGTACCTCTCATAGCTGCCTGCCAGCTGTACATTAGTTGTACCTCTCACAGCTATACATTAGTTGTACCTCTCATAGTTGTACATTAGTTGTACCTCTCATAGCTGCCTGCCAGCCATACATTAGTTGTACCTCTCATAGCTGGCTGCCAGCTATACATTAGTTGTACCTCTCATAGCTGCCGACTTTGGTGAAGCCCTTGCTCCTACGGTTGCAGATGATCCACACGGCGAAGAAGATGCAGAGAAACTCTAGGAGGACGATGAAGAAGACGGTGAAGATGATGAGGCCCGTGTTGGAGGTGACGTAGTCCCACATGTGCTGGTAGCACCCCCTGTTGTAGTAGGTGGCTGTCAGGTAGTTGGCTGTGTTAGCACAATTGGCGGGAGAACTCTTGGTGATACAGCACATGGCAGGCGTCTTGAGAGTTACGCCCCCCAAGGACTTGGACCAGCCCGTAGCCACAGAGAAATCGTCGAAGCTGTCGACCCCGCAGCATTTCTTGTAGGACATAACAGCGTTCCAGCCGATGGTGAAGCTGTCCTTGCCGTCGTCGCCCGTGTATCCTGAGAGCGAGTTCTTGAGCAGGAGCTTGACCGTGCTGTCGAAAGGCGTGCGGTCGATGTACGCGCAGATGATGACGACGATCTGAGCGAAGAAGAGGCAGCCGATGAAGACAAGGAAAACGATGACGAACCTGTAGAACTGCCCCGCCCCCGCGATGATGCCGAGAATACTGATGCCGGATATCAGAGCTCCGAAAATCAGGAGGACGGCGCCCAGGGGGATCGTGATGAAGATAATGTCAATGTCGTTTACATTCGGGGTGCTGATGCTCAAGGACGTGTAGGACGTCTTGAGGTTATCCCTGAGAAACTGTAGCTCGTTACCGTAGGCCGTTTTACCGATGATGAGGACAACACCCCCCGCTATACACGTTAGGGCAAGTACCTGCAGGATACACAACAGGTATTAGTTTCACATAATTTAACACATAATTAGAACTATATTGTAACCGCATGGATTTAAACAAAAAAAATCTGATTCTGTGTTATTTTAAGATAAAACTAAGAAAAGTGTGAGCTACCAAGAAAATAGTGGTAAATTAACGGTGAATATGTATAAACACAATAAACACTGATACACTTTAACTAAAATTCCAACATTTTTAACCAGAGCTATGTAAAACGTATAATATTTAACACTAATTCCAACATTTTAAAACCAAAGCGATGTGAAACGTATAATGTTTAACAAAATAATACAGGTTATAAGAAAGGTTTTGGAAATCTGTTTTTTACTATCATCACAAAAAAAGCCCCGACAAAACACTTAGTCTTATAAAATACTCGTATTGTATAGGTTCCTTAGTTATCAGCAACTTCAAGAGCGCACAATCAAATAAAGATTCGAATGTTAGACGTAACACACTGACCGGCATAGAGATTTAGACACCACATAAAAAACACACAGATTAAAACAATACACACTGACCACTACAAAGATTAAGACACTACACGTAACACACCAACCAACTCACAGAAATTATTAAGACACTATATTTAACACTCACCAACAGAAAAGTGCTACAAATGAGCAGACCAAGCCGTGCGCCTCTCGGTGATTTTCCCTCACACATTCTGTACAAACTCTTTTCTAAACTCTAATATTTATGTTTGAAAATAAATACATTACTTCAACAAAGGTCATCAAAATGGTTAAAGATTAAAATTAATTAAACCAAATAAAAATTATTTAATTTTAATTTAATTTGTACCAAACACTTGCCTGTACCTAGTTACAGCCAGCAAGTTATAAACACAAAAATAGATTTAGTTAACCAGTCACATGACCTCGAGTGTGTAAACAGTGAACCCCAATACCCAACAACACAGCAGTGAAGTACACATAGAATTACCAACGTTTAGCCGAAAGAGAAATTTTAATATCAGAGGACATAGAGAAACCACTCATGATCTGTTTACATTGAGTTAAAAAATCGATAACTGATCAAAAGGGAGTGTTTGATATCTTCGATTTTTTTGACCGGATTCATGATCTATTGATAAGGCGTCGTATGGCGGTAGGTATTACACATAAACCATTTTTCAATACAACCCGTGGTACGGCTGACTTATCCCCCTTTATGCCAAATATTTTGTAGTGTAGGCCTACATATTGTAGGTCTTCACTACTTACAGCAGTTTTTGTCACTAATCTCTTTGACATCGTCGTCACAGTTTTGTCTTGTCTATTGTATAGTGTTCTTTTAACCAACTTATCGATATTTTTATGCTTAAATCACATAGGTTATAGGAATTCATACTATTCGTATATGGGTTAAATGGTTTTTTTTCATGTTATACTCTATTTCTTTCTTAGCGTAAATTATTTTCCATTTCCCCAAGTTGGTCTTTATGTAATTTTGTAGAGTGTGTAGGCCCAATTGACCCCTAGTGGGTAAGCTCACATGTCCTCTAGTGTGTAGGACCAACTGACCTCTGGTGTGTAGGGCCAACTGACCTCTGGTGTGTAGTGCCGAGAACCGCTGATTCCAGAGATGTTGCTGCAGTTTATACTGCCGAGGACATGGTGTTGTCATTGCGCTGTGTGTCAATGGTCAAATGATCGTCTGAGAACATCTCGACGTGACAACATCACGTGACATGGTGTTGTCATTGCGCTATGTCAATGGTCACATGACCGTCTGAGAACATCTCGACGTGACAAGATCACGTGACATGGTGTTGTCATTGCGCTATGTGTCAATGGTCACATGACCATCTGAGAACATCTCGACGTGACAACATCACGTGACATGACGTTGTCATTGCGCTGTGTCAATGGTCACATGACCGCCTGGGGACATCTTGACCGTAACAACATCACGTGACATGGCCTAGGTAAGTTATCGTCGGGTGTCAGACATGTTGTTTAGGCCTCCTGTCTCTAAGTCTGGTGCGCAGATTGTCCATGTTCAACAAGGATCTTGAGTGGGTGTGGTGAGGGAGAGGGGGGGTTGGGGGGTAGAGTGGGGTACGGGTGGGGGAATGTAATGAACGTGCGCTAAAGTGCACGAATAGAAGGACGTCAATGTTTTTAAACTGAGAGAAAAAGATCAATTCAATGGCACACTTTATCACCTATTTTTGTTTTGTTTTGTGAATCAATTTAAACATAAGATAGGGTGGGGAGAGGGGTAGACTAATTAACACTACAAAATAATGGCAAAATAAAACTTAATTAGGAAGTAGAGTGCTATGGGTTTGTTTACTATTGCTGCTGTGATTTCAATGTCTAATTTCTATTGCTTGTATAAGGCAGAATTTACATTCATAAAAATAAAATTGTTGTAAACAGATTGTTTCAGTGTTTTTGTTTTGGTTTTGTTTGTATCACATAAATACTGCACTTTTAACAAATCTGTTTCTTTCGATCAGTTATTGTACTTTAACAATTCTGTTTCTTTCGCTGAATTCTGTACTCATAAAAAACTGTGTCTTTCAATGATAGCTTTCATTATCTTTCTCTTGCAAGATGTGCACTCAATTTCATCCCAAACATGCATTCTTATCCTTATAAGAAAACAACAGTCATCCCAACCCTCCAATGTAAAGGACACCCCCCCCCCCCCCCAGAAGAAAAAATCTACCACAATCCAAAAGCACGAACCTCTAATACGTTCAAGGGTAAGGGAAATAATTCTATTAAAGCCGTACATCGAAATAGCGTGTTGCTTTCCCTTTAGAAGTAAGATCAAATTCTGAACTTGGAAATCTATTTGAAAATGTTCAGTAATTACTTGGTCTGGTCAAGGAAAAACAACAACATATATTCAATCCTCTAAGGCTTACGGCCAATCCACTAAAGCTTACGTTCAATCCTCTAAAACATGCGTTCAATCCTCTAAAACTTACATTCAATCCTCTAAATTCTAAAACATACATTCAATCCCCCAAAACATACGTTCAATCCTCTAAATCTTACGTTCAATCCTTTACAGATTCCTCACAACAAATAATAGCAATTTAAAAATGTGCATTAAAAAAACACATTTTTAATGTATATAGTTTTTTTCCTTTGAAATTTTTTCTCTCATTTTTAAAAATTTTTGAACTGCTCAACTGCTTCACTTCTAACTAATCAGCAATGGACCTAATTAAAATGAGACGAGGGATGTGTTGATTACACCAATAAGCTGGACGTCAATTGTTAAAAACAAGTCACTTTGATTCCCTCAAGAAATTCTCTTCAGTTTTTATAGCGTTCAATCAGAACAGACGGGAACAATATGGCTTCTTGATTAAAAGCTCATGCTAAATTTAGCTTCATTCAACGCTATACATGGGACGTGACAGATCTGCTTGATACGACGCGTCTGTTTAGAGCAGTATGAGAGTGGGGGGGGGGGGGGGGGGTAAATGAGCTTGCTATACACACACTTTTGAAAGCTGTTGCTGTAATCATTACTCATGTTGTTTAATCATTGCTAAATTCCAGAATGATTACAACGCAAAACGTATTTGATAGGGCCCAGAAATACGTGTAATGAGTTGCTGGGGTTCGAACTCGGGACGTTGTAGAAAACCACGAGCTTTAACGGCCCGACCACACTGAACCCTCATACTCAGATAATTTAAAAATTGTATAGTTTTTATTTTATTACATTTTATTTTTTGACGTATTTCATGGAGTACTTTGGCGTAAGGCATAACAGGGGTCCTTTTATTGCCGGCCCATTTATCAATGTACTGCTCTTAGTGTTATTAATAATGATGTATACAGAGGGAATTTCATGTATGACAAAGGCATGCAATGATTGGAGCTGGAGGGAATCAGGAGCTGAGTTAGAGCTAGTAAAGTATTTTTTGGAGCTGAGCTAAATTAGAACTGAGCTTAAGCGCAACTCAACCCAAACACTTTTGCTGCATCAGCTTGATATACATCACGTGACGACAACACATATCCGGCTGGTATTAGTTATAATTAGAGCAATGAAATACAAACACAATCCTACATAATTACCTCCCTCATTCACAGGTATGTGCTGATCGTGAGAAGCGAATATAAAACCTTCTTACAAGGGGAGTTAGGTCGCCCAGTCTTGTTTGCACGCGATATTTTGCGTCCAGGTATAACTTTAGTAAATTAAACGAACTTTGAAAACCGGAAGTCAGCCGTTATTTTTATCGCCCAATAAAACGTCCATCCGATTTTATCAATAATAAAACATTACCCGCTTGGAAGGGTTAGGTTCCAATAATCACGGTAGGGATTTAGTCGATATCACAGCCAGCACTGAGGGGGTCAATGACCTGACCACACATCACGTGAATGATTGGTGAACACATGGGAATACAAGAATAGCGACGCCTTACAGCTGATAATGGTATCCTGTATTGGTAGACGTGTGTTATCCCTGGTTTACAGATAGTGGTTAAGTTAATTTATAGGTTAAAAGCTTTGGCTCAGGACATGTTTATTTTCTTATTACGATAACATGTGCTAGAGATTTAACCTGTTATATGTGCTAGAGATTTAACCTGCAATATATGCTAGGGATTTAACCTGCTATATATGATAGGGATTTAGCATGTTATGTTGTTCCCAGTTATTATAATTATTCAACGACATTCAAGAACTAGAATCTTGAACCTACGACACTCAAGCACTATGTTTTAAAAATCTAGAACCTACGACATTCAAGCACTAGATTTTTAAATTCTTGAACCGGCGATATTCAAGCATTGGATTTCCCTATGCTGTAGCTTTATATTAGGATAGACTTAATTAAATTAGGTTTCAAAGTGAATTTTCGAATCCTCGGATGAATTTCAAAAACCTGATCATCTTGAATTAATTATTAGCCAACAACATCAATATTAAGCTAGCGAAGACATACAAAGCCTTGGTTAAATGAACTCCAGTTCATGTGACCTACCTGCCATCACGTATAAAAGGATACTTTCCAGGCAATTTTAACCAAGTACCTTGTAAATGGGAGCGGAGGGGATTATGAGAAAATCTTTTTCAAATTTCAGGTCTTTTATTTCCAGCTTTGATCGTTATATCGTTATTATCTAGGTGAGTGCTTTTTTGAGTAACTATTTATTTTTCCATCCGGCTATACCTTAAGCGTTTGTCTATTCATTTCGCTGTTTTAGCGATCTAAGTGAACATAGAGTCTAGTGTTGAAGAATAGACCAGCTGTTGAACACACCATCTAGTGGTTGATTTAGTGTCAAGACTAATGTGGTACGGCTCTTGTTTGTTTCTGTAGATCATCTGCGTGTTCGATCATATTTTCTATTGTAAGACACTGCAAGCGTGGAGTCAACTGAAATATAGATCACAATGGTGAATAAATGATTGAACACAACCATTGTGAGCGTGAGTGGTATCGTGAAGTACTTTAGTGTCGTCTGCAAGTGGCATTAGTGATGGATGGCGTCTGGGGTAGGCTAGCCCACTGTAATCTGAATCTATTGGCTGTTGAAGTATTTGGTTCCATTGTAATCGGCTAGCGTAACTGGAGTCTTTACATCTGTAGGGTCGGGTCAAGCTTAAGGTCAGGATAGGAGCCATGTTAAGGTATAGTTGTGGGTTGTACAAATACGTGCGGGTGGTTAATTAACATGTGAGGTTAATTAACAGATATGGTTAACTAACAGATGTGGATAATTAACGGATGTGATTAATCAAAAGTTATGGTTAATCAACATGTTTGGAGAATCAATAGATGAGGCTAATTAGAATTTGTTAATCAACGAATGTTAATAATCAACATGTATAGATTATCAACAGTTTCAGCTAATTAACAAATGTGGTTAATTTAGCGGGTATGGTCAATTAATAAATGTGGCTAATCCAAAGCC